ATTTTTTTAACCATTTGACTTGAAGTTGATTTAAGCAGATGCATATTCTTTGTGATATGAACACATGGGAAACAAATGATCATTTAGCCATTTATTTTTAGCTCAAAATGACAACATTAACACAGTAAAACAGGTCTCCTTCTTAAACAGAAGCCTGTCATGCTTAACTTTTGAGAATATAAGTAAATCTTTCTTTAAAAGAGCTCTGTCCTGCTTAACTTAAAATTATATAAATTAATAGAAAACAATAGAAAGAAAAATATTCTTGTAACTGTGCACATATAGTGCATTTAGTACAATTGGCTTCAGTTGAGGTATTATTTCAGCTTTTCTAATGCTAATCAGCTGCTCCTGTTTGTAAACCCGCTTGTTCCCATGATTACGCATCATAACTCATCATCATTATTCACCTATGTATTACTTTTATGTATTAGTCATCTATTTGTTGTAATCATCTATCCTTGCAGTTGCTTATTACACAAAATAAATTATATTATCACACTTCTGGCCACATAGCGCTGATATTCACTGCACATGCCCATATTAACTTTTTCCAGCCAGGTGTTTTCCTTTTCCCATTCCTCCCTGTACTTTTGCAGCCTTTTTTTCTTTCTCTGAGCGAACAAACATTGCTGCTCTAATGCTGGGCTCACACTGTGCGATTTTTGGCCCATTTTGAGACGATTTCTGAGTCGTGCGACGGATTTGGTGATCAGACCGATTTTGGCCTTCATCGTGCGTCGTGTAGTATACGTGGGGTAACGAGAAGCGATTAACACCTCACGACCAGCTCCCGATCATCAATCGCTCGTGAGGGCGTCACCGCAGCCGCTCACACTGCGCACGCGCAAACACGTAAACGTCGGTGAAAAAGACGGCGCAGCACAGCTGTGCAGCGTGTGATCTGGACACAAGCGATGGAGGCACAACTTGTAGAACTTTGGCAAGCTCATCCGAGCCTTTTCGATGTGGCATCACAAAATTATCACGACCACAACAACCGTGAAAACAGTTGGATTTACACTGCTGCTTAATCACAGCTGCCTGATCAGTGTTTTTCATTAGCAATTTAGCAAAGTTGATGGTGGTGGTGTGTGTGTCTGTGTGAGTGAAAGACAGAGAGAGCGAGCGACAGATTGTCTGTTATAACCTTCATTTTATGGAGGCACAGTGTGAGCACTCAGGTCGCATCAGAGCATCGGGCGGTATAGTGTGAGACCTGCATCGTGACCTACCAACTTCTAACCCCTGCGAGTCAATCGTGCAGTTTGAAAATCGCACAGTGTTTGCCCAGCTTTAGGTGTACTGTCATCCGAGACTTGCACCGCAGTGTCGGCGTTTGTTCCCCTGTTGGCCATGCTTGTTGTTGTGGTCATCTGTTGTCTTCCGGTATTTTCTCTGTAAGCGACCTTTCCTCGACCAATGAGATGAGCGGTAATCTGAATTGTCATACTCGAATTGTCATAAGTGTGCTGTCAGCTCATTGGTCACAAAGCAGGAGAGGGGCTGGGAATTATGTTCTCAAACAAAGCGTTAATTCCATTAACATTTATAGACTACTTTTGATTCTCACTATATTACGGGACAAAGTGCGTCCCTTATTAGCTCAATACGGGACGTGTACTTTTGTTTCGAAATACGGGACGATTCCGTATTTTAAGGGACGGTTGGCAACCCTAACTAAGGTGAAGGTGACTTTTATTAAGATGCACATTTTAGAAAAAAGAAATTTCAGAAGTCTTGGCTTCAGAAATATTTTACTGGGAATGAAATGATGATTGATGGTGTCACATTTTAAATCTAACCACAGTTGTACAAAGCCAGCTGTTGCCTTCAAGGACCCAGTCTTTATGCTAAGCTAAGCTAATCAACATGTTTAACATAATTGTGAATTATAAAGTATCCCTCACTTGCGTTTGTTTTTTCCACACCACAGATTCAGAAAAACCTCCAGAAACTCCTGGAGGAGACTTAAAAGAAGACTGTGGTCTGTTGTAGTGTCCACAGAGAAGAGCGAGTGCTGTGTAGAAGAGATCGTGCTTGAGCTGTGCAGATCAGCCGTGATCAGATTTGGTCATAACTTTCTTGCCAAAGCATGGACAGCTCATACACAAAGCATTCTTTAGACTGTGTGAAGTGAAATTGTGCAATAATGACTTCTTTCCCTTTTGCACTCAGGACTATTTGATCACTTCTTTTTAACAGAAAGCTGTGCTGAAGCAGTGTGCTAGTTTGCTAGTGGTAGTGTTAGCGAAGTGACTATGTTTTATTTATTTAGCTTTCATGTTACATTTCACAGTAGTAAGATTGTTAATAAGTTGTCAGGTCCAAAGGTTCTATTTCATGTCAAGGTCAATGTTTTTGTCAGCATTAAAATGTCAGTAAGTTATATTTTTATCATGCTTATGACTCACTCATCAAAAGATTGTACAACACTCAGCTTGTTCTTATGGTGTGATGTCAACAGATATGTATAAATATACACTTTGCTTTGTGAAATCACACAACAGTAAGAGCAAATCAGAGTTTAAAATATATTTTTTATTGTAAGTGTGGAATTTTTAATTTTCATACGAACCAACTGCTGTTTCATTCAGATGCAATTGTATAGTTTCTCAAACCTAGCAGCGTGTACTGCATTTACCCTGTTCCCATTCTGTTTTCACTTTGTTTGTGTGTATGAAAAACAAAAAAAAAAATGTGTTTTAACTTTAGTTGTGACCCTTCAGATCACAGCTTGTGCCTTTGTGATTGTATCACAGCTCTAAAATAAACGGTTTTTCATGAAGTGTTTCTTGAAACTGGCGTTAACAGCTTTTTTACTTAGGAGCACCAGGTTACATAAGGCTGATCACTCAGCCAGGTGACGCGCCTGCAGACCACAGACAAATGAATGCAAACAGCACCGATGTAACCCAAGAACATGATGACTGGCCTGCTCACAGCAGTGAAAGAAGAACTCTCTTTACTACAGTGTACAATAACACTTTACCACAAATAAAAGACTAATGTGTGCGCTTTTTAAAATTCTGCAGTGGGAGTTTGTTTTTGTTGTAATTTTTCCCCTACAGTGTTTTTATTGGGTGACAGGTAAAGGTAGACCAGTTTGGCATGGAGTAATACATGGAGAAAGTGATTTGGAACTGGCTTCTTGACATAAGCCACACCTTACCTGAAAAAGACGTCATCTGGATGGCAACGTGTTACTCCAAAATTCCCATCTTAAACAAGCTCGGCCTCAGAAAACATATTGATCTTGTTTTTTTAATCTTTGCATTGAATGTTATCTTGCATTTGTGAACTGCTGTTCAGTCACACTTCAGTACAGTTCAGTAATGGTGCTCAGCATTGTCCTTGTGTAGTTTTCTCTGATTTCAATTCAGAACATTATGCACCATAATCGTTGATAATACCACATTATTTGTAATTTTATGTTGAGAAATAAGTGATGGACATTTAAAACTGAAACATAGTTCAAACTGTTCCGATGATGAGGATGCTGCTGTGACTTATAAAGTGTCCCCTTATTTTTATTTGTTCTCTAAATAGTGTCACCAACATTAGCTACCCCAAATCACTAGAGATTATCAGTTCATTTTAACATTCCAGGTGACAGCAAGTCAAAATTATGTTACCTGTCCAGCAGCAGCCTGCATTAAGCTTTAATATTGCTATAAACTGAAATGGATCAGTGTACGCCTTTTATTCACTGTTATGTTTAAGTTTTGGGTGACGGCACAAAGACTGAGAGAGGTGGATAGAGAGGGAGAGAGTAGGATGAACACAGCAAAGAGAGAGCAAAAAGAAACAGGTAAGAGTGGACATGTGGTCAAATTCACCAAAAATTATATATATAGGCCTATTGTATGCCTCTTTAAAATGTGTGACATTTAAGGGATCTTTATTGTGTGATTGAAATTAAAATTGTCCTTAAGGTAAGTTTACTCAGTTACAACAATAAAGTACAAATTCAGTTCCATTCAGTTTTATTTATATAGCACCGAATCCCAACAACAGTGACCTCATGACATGGTATATTATAAGGTAAAGACCCTACAACATTAGAGATAAAACCCCAAGAATCAGATGACCCTCTGTGAGCACTTGGCAACAGTGGGAAGGGAAAACTCCCATTTCAAAGGAAGAAACCTCGGGCTCAGAGGTGGCTACCATCTGTCGTGACTGGTTGGGTGTGAGGGCTCTCTGGATGAGAGCCAGAGTTATATTAATAACTAATGATTAAATGCAAAGTGGTGTATAAATACATGGAGGGTGTAGTTGCAGTTAAGTAAAATGTGAAAAAGTCATCATGTAAATGAACAAAACATTACTTTAAAAAGAGTATTTACAGTGCAGTATTCAGTTACAAAATGGGTGACTTTCAGTATTTGTACTTCATTCCCTACTTTGCATTGTACTTTGTAGAAAGAAAAAAAAACCTTGAGCAGCTCAACATGCTAATCACACTAATACATGTACTTAGTCATTCAACTACTGTACTGTACTGTACTACATATTGGGCCCAATTTGAGGCCATGAAAAGCGCAGTGAATGGTTTTTAAAGTACATTTAATGATATATCAGTACAGATGCTCAGAAATTTACAAATGATAGAAATACATATGTTGAAACAGACTGAAAAAAATTGGTTGTCAGGAAAAAAAACTGTCTTATAAAATTCGCGATTTTTTTGCTTCCGGATTTCACCTCCTATTTCAATTGAATTTTATTTATACAGCGTCAAATCACGACAACAGGCGCCTCAACGCGCTTTATATGATAAGGTAGACTACAATAATACATAAAGAGAAAAAACACAACAGTCATATGAGCAAACACGCACACCAGCGCTGTTGTGGCGGGTGTGTCTAAACAGCGACACCTGCCGTTCAGGAGAATACTGCAGGGAGTACTCGCGCCCTCAGCTCTGGAATAAATGGTACCGACGTCACTGTTTGCGGCCAGTGTAAACGGGCCCATTACATTACAGTCTCCGGCAGCAGAGCAGCCCGCCTCCTCTGGATTGTGGACCAATGACTCGGACGCCTCTACATCTCGTCTGCCTCTCAACCCGCGTTCAGCCCCTCGCATGACGTAACGCCCAATCTGAAAGTGCAATGGCGATATTGGACAATAACAGCCATCGCGCTTGGGGTCCACATCTATATTATGTGGCTAAGGTTCAAGAAAACACCTCCAGCCGGCTGCAAAACCACATATAATATCGGCACAGAGCGCGAGCGTCAACCTGCGACCAGGAAAGGTGATCTCCCAGCCTCTGCACGCGATGACAGCTTAGAATAAATCGCTGGTGAGTCCAAACTCTGCTGATTGCAACAGCATTCGCCAAAGGGGAAAAAAGGCTTTTCCAGTAAATGGTCTCTTGCAGGCAGCAAGCCTGAGATTTCAAAGGGGCGTGGCGGTATGCTGGGTACTACTTCTGACTAACGGATGCTGATAGCTTAGCAACAGCGACGGGGAAGGAGAGCAGAGACAATGGATGTGCCATTTGTCAGCATCGTTACTGGGCAGGCTGAGCTGAGCGCGTGTTTGCTGGACTAGAGAGAGAGACACGATCCTCGCCACTTTGTTCCAAGTGAGCAGCAAGGAGCCGTGGATGCGGAGTGGAAATGTAAACAAAGGGTGTGGGCCTTCCAGCTGGCCTGTGATGCTCTGCCACACACATGAGCATCATGTAGTCATGTCAAGAAGAAGGCCAGCCAGCTCTGGATCACAGCTGCTCCAGAGCCCCAGAAACCCAGGGGTCCCAAACATTATACTGGGTCTCTGCAATAGTTTTCAAGCTGCCAGCTTTTATTTGCCGTGCTGGATTGCTTTTCTATTGTTGAGCAAGCTATTTTAAATTTCATTGCCTTGGACTTCAGGACAGTCTAAAACGATTTTCACTATTTTTGACATTTTATAGATCAAACAGCAATGCTTCCTTCATTTTAAATAGCTTTAATAGCCGTGCAAACATCAGTAAGCCATAGTTAACACTGTATTAATTAGTTTATCTGAATTCAAAAGTACAGCATTAAAGTTATATTTGTATTGTTTAATAGCAAAGCCACTGAAATACACTCACATCATAAAACTCTTCAGATTTTTTGGTTACAGTAATTCTAGTCCATGCGTCCACCAAACGTTTAGGTCAATGAGTTAAAATCCTAAGATTTTATATATATCTTATTGTGCTTGGAATAAAAATAAAACAATGTTTCCATCTGTCCACCTGTTCATTCCCCTATTTATCCATCCGCTGGATTGGTTGGGCTTAAGTCTACCTCAGCCATCATATAGCAAGAAGTAGGATACACCCTGGACAGGTTGCCCGTCTGTCACAGGGGGAACGCAGACAATCACTTACATTTACTGCTGATTTAGGATCACCGGTTAACCCTGTATTTGGACTTTGGCAGTACACCACTGACTGAACACACTGAACCCACACAGAGAGAGGACCTTATGAGGTGATGGTGCTAACCACTGTGCTGCCCTGAAAGACACTTTTATTACTTAAAAGTAACAACAGCACCCACAGTATAAAGGTAACAAAGTAACATCCATGTAAATGCCATTGTATTCCAATGAGAAAACTTCTATTAGTCACTTGGCCTGTCAGGTGGTTTTAAATTTGTGGCTAATCAAAAGGATAATGAATGTGAATATGAAGGCATGGGTTAAATACCAACCAGAAAATGCAATCCTGGACTTTTAATGGCCATATGAATATTGAAACTTGGTTTTAAAGATGTAGAGTATTGGTTCCCTTTTGGGTGTGATAAAAAAAACAATGACAATCCAAATGGACTCTGAAAGTGAAACTGTTGCACCTCCCAGGCTTGACATTTCGCTTGTTTCCTAGGTGTGACGTGTGAACAGACACCATGGCCACACAGGAACCGTCCCCTCCTTCATCCATGGAGAGCAATAAGCCCGGCTTCCCCAAGAAGATCCTGGGCAACAAGCTGGAGGACAAACACCTGTGCAACTGCTGCCACAATATCCTCAGACGGCCTTTCCAAGCCCAGTGTGGACATCGCTTCTGTTCCTACTGCTTTAACAGGACTGTGAGGTGAGGAGTGGAATGGCCAAAGGCTAAAATAAGTGCTTTGGAAGTGATTGTAAATATTTAGATTAAAAAAAAAAAAAACTTTAATCATTTAATATATAGTAATGTTGCTCATTCTCCTTTGTTCAGTTTCAGGGAGCTGCTTTTAGAGCTTCTATCGGGCTAAGAGAAATGAAAAAGTTAATTACTACTTAAATGATTCTAATCCAGCACTATTTAATTCCAGCAGTAATTAGCGCTCAACTGGTAATAAATTAGTGCTTACACTGGATTAGTGTTATTAGTGTCCCACTGAAGTGGGAGACTGATGTGTCACTGATTCTTTGTGTGTTGCTTATTCTTTGTCAAAAGCTGTAAAACCACATTGTCAGCGGTTCAGTATTTTTTGAGTGGATCTCTTTGCTTTGACACCATTGATGCATCTCTGTAAAATATCTTCGATGACAGAGACTTGATCATATTTGGATGAGGGCGTGGAGCTGAAAGTAATCAGCTGAAGCTAACGAGCTCGATTTGCAGTGTTCTTCCATAGACTGGATGGGTCGGCTGTAGGACAGAATCCTGCCTAACATGGCATAAAATGCTAGATTTTTACTCATGAGCCCAGTGGACAGAATGTTAGCATAAATAACCATGAACTGACTCTATTACTGTTCTGATAAAGTACATTAAAAAATGCACCAAAAGCACAAACATGATCGGGAGCTGCTAATATTATTAATATCTTTAAAGTGCATATAAATCAGCAGCTAAATCTTTAACTCATAATTTAAGTTGTCATAGCATATGTCAGTAGCATAAATTATTGGCTATGTTGTTGTTTAATTGCAGTAATGGACCTCAGAAATGCAATGCTTGCATCAAAGAGGATATTTTTGAGGACCCTACCTCGATTTTAAAACAAGGATGTGTGAGTACTCTTTTTTCGATTACTTTTTAAAAAAATGAAACGAATCACCTTGATTTGAATTGGTGAAAGATTAAAAGAAAAAGAGCAGAAAACAAGCTTCTGAAGTTAAAATATGTCTGACGTGAGCTCTGCGTGTTGCCCCGTTTACATCATGTGCAGTCTGTGCAGTAGTAACAGCAGCGTGATGATGCTGGTGATTATGAGTTTCAGCTAATGCTTAGATAATATAATCGTCACCAAATTAAATCATATGTAAACTTACAGTAAAGTAACTGCGTGCATGTGTTGAATGTGCAGCTTTTCTGACACTGATGAACACAGCAGCTGGACGTGCGTTTCACAGATGCAGCTCAACAGCAGATCCCTTTTTATTTTCTCTCGTTTTTTTCAGGCTTTTCCAGACAATGCGGTTCGAAGGGAAGTTGAAAATCTGCCAGCTGTTTGTATCAATGAAAGCTGCACTTGGAAAGGAAGTATAAAGGAGTACGAGGTGAGGCGGCTTTTTTTCCTTCACTTGTTTTTCAGTAACCAGGTAGCCTAATGTTTTGTCTTTGTCACTTTGAAACGCTCGCTAGCCCCGCCTTGCATGGAGAGTACTGTGTGCATGAGACAAAGCAGCCTTGGCGCTCTTCTTGAGCAACCATAATCTGGATTGCAAACAGATGTTTAACAGAGTTTCTACAGCAGCCTGTGGGAGGTGGAAATGAGGCTGGTGCATTTATGAAACGGTGTAAAGGAGGCATTTGGATAACGTGGGAATGTGCAAACAGAGCAGATATTTCTACTGCTTTCAAGAAGTGGGAGGAAAAATCGATAAAGCATAGTATCACAAATTGTGACATTGCATCAATACAGGGACACCAAATTTCTGGTTTGTTTGGGTGTTGCAGGCAGGTTCCAGTAGACTACCTCGCAGCTGTGGATGAAGTTCAATGGGAATAATGGCCACGGTGCAAATAAAACTTGTACAGCTTGTTGTTTAGATTTGAAAAAGCACAATCAAGTTAAACAACTTAAATCTAGTCTCCTCCGTATCACATGTCCAGCAGCTGCCTTTAGACAAATGCATACATTATGTAAACATATTGCTGCCACATTTCCTGTCTTTATATCTACCAGTTTCTTTGTGGGAAATTGTGTTTGCATGTTTTTCTTTGGTCTCTGGGGGCCGTAACATCTGCAGCTGTTGTTCTCCTTCTTGTGGCTGAAGATGGTTCTTTATAGCTGTGGTTTTTACCTTTGGACTCATCGTCCTGTTACAGAATGCTAGTGTTGCGTGAAGGATAAGACTCTAAACATCTAACATTGTTAAAGCTACAGCGCTGTTCTGTACGTAGACAAATAAGCCTCCCAGGTAACAGAGGTTACCATTCTGCCACAGCACCTCAGCATAAGCTCCCACTTTCCACAGATGAACCACGAGGGGAAGTGCGAGTTCATGATCATCCCCTGCCCCTCCTGCAAAGAACGAATCCGCTTCAATGAACAGGAGCGCCATAATGAGCGAGAGTGCCCTGAGAGGACGCTCAACTGCAAGTACTGCAAGGAGCCGTTCCACTTTAAGAATATCAAGGTTGGAAATGATTTATTTAGACCAAAGATGCTCGTCGGGGCCTGTGCGGCAGATCAGAGCAGCTATTTGTGTGGCATTAAAAGAAACGCTGCTGCCTTTTCGTTTTTTTCAGGCTCATGATGAGATCTGCCCCAAGTACCCGATGATCTGTGAAGGCTGTGCCAAGAAGAAAATACCCAGAGAAAAGGTAAATCTGAGACCAACGTGCAGAAAAGGTTGTAAAACTTTTATGGTGTAAAACTGACCATAGGCCATGTAGCTGCTGTACATTCTCTTTTTCACTAATCAAATGTGATGGCAGGGAGTATGCAACTGAGCTTCTGAAAATAATGAATGTACTTTGTCATGTTTACTTATGTTTAATAAAAAAGAAACTGAAGATATTCAGACTAATCAAACAAATTTGAAGATGCAATATGTAAAATGTCACAAGATACAAAGTAACAAATATAAGAAGAAAAAGACACAACTGATTCATCACTCGCTGTTAATACACCGCAGATGGAAAATCATTTATATCGATTGTGAGAAATTGACTATTTTATTTCTTTTGTTTCCTAGTATGTGGACCATATCAAATTCTGCAGCAAATTCAGAACTCCATGTCGATTTCATGTGGTGGGATGCGATATGTCTGTAAGTAGCCCGATTGTTTTCTCAATAACAAATTCAGTATTTGAGCACACAGTCAGATTCGAGACTATAGGAGAGAAAACATCATCTGAACCAAGATGAGGAGGAGTGAGGAGGTATCTTTTTTCCAGTGACTGTATATAAAAGATGAACAGAGCCACTGTGATGTCACAATTTGGTTTGTGGACTATTGTTTTGAAAGTTTGAGCATTAAGGATGACCATCCTGCTTAGTTCTTTAAAAACACAAGTGCTAGTTAGCCAGTTTGGTTAGCAGTGTTATTCATTGTAATTTTTTATGATTGAAATTGTTATTGGAAAAACTATCGTGGCCTTGAGAGGTCACTGCAACTTAGGAAAACACCAGCAAATAGAAAACCGCCACAAAAACACACAAAACACAGTGGAAGTTTAAAAAAATGCTGCTAATACTCAACGGGACAAGCTAGTAAACGGCTAATAGTAGACAGTAGACTATTATATATTCTTAGTGAGAGATGTTTTGAATTAAAAAATAAAAACAGGAGTTTACAATACATTGGTGGAAATGAATCATGTGAATGAATGAATCAAATGAGTTAAGACTATGTTAGATTTACCGTTCTCCTTTACTTCAGTAATTACTCTGTGCATTCATATATTGTTTCTGGTTTCTGTTGCACTTTTGCAGGTGGAGAAGGAAAAGATTCATGACCATGAGCGCGCATATGCCTATGAGCACCTCAATCTTCTGCTGCATTACATTATGGGCATGAAAGTTAGCATGGAGGGCCTACAGCCCCAGGGACTGGAAGTAGCCGGACACAAACTGGTGGAACTCCAACAATCCCTCAAGGAACTCGAGGCCAGAGTCTCCCAGCTCAGCACCACCTCCTCTGGGCCTCCCGTGCAGGGAGCCGCCGCCGCCGCATCCTCATCATCTTCCAGCTCTGGACCTCCTGGTCCACCTGCTTCAGTTCCTCTACCTCCACCTCCCACTCTGCCTCCCACTCTCTCTGTGTCCACATCCTTCACGCCTCTGCCCAGCTCCGTGGGCGCAGCGCTGGAGCTCCAGCTTCACAGCGAGAAAACCAAGGTGGCCGAGCTCGGGCGCAGGTGCACGGAACTGGAAGTCAAAGCTGGCACGTTTGAAAATGTGGTGTGCGTCCTGAACAGAGAGGTGGAGAGGTTCGCCACCACCATGGAAGCCAGCAACCGTCAGCATAAACTGGACCAGGATAAGATCGAGGCTCTGAGCAACAAGGTAAGCTCGAGCCATGACTGCAGCATTCCTTGTTCTCTGAGTTTTAACTCAGTCAAATCTGAACACACAACAATGGACCGTTCATTTTTAGATTCACCATTACTTTTTCTTCCGTATCGATGTAATCCAGAATCCTGGAGAGATCTTAGGTTGTGGTTGAATCTGTTTATTTGCATACAAAAAAAGGTGTGAATGGCTGATTTAAGGATAGGCGAGTCTAAAAAATACTTTTAGCACACACAAAATACCTGCATAGATTTTACACTTCCGGTGTGTAAAGGCTGCTACTTTGAGAAAACTTGTTGCCTGCCAATTTATAAAATCCTAGAAAACACAGGAAAAGGCTTGGAGATGCTTCAAAGTGATACTTTGAACAAACTCAGTCTTTTCAAAATATTTGTAGTTTCTTCCTTAAAGGCAGAGTGATGTTGATCACCTTGAATTGATGCTAATATGAATTAGTCATTTGTAATGTCTGAGCATGTTTGTGAAACCAACCAAAACTACTGCACTTTTAGTTGGTTATTCTCTCAGCTGCTGTTCAGTCACTGCTGGAAAATATCCAATTTAATGAATATGTGTTTGTTTTCCAGGTGCGACAGCTAGAGCGGACTGTGGGGCTGAAGGACCTGACGGTCGCAGAGATGGAGGGACGGCTGAGAGAAATGTCCGCTACCACCTTTGACGGCGTCTTTATCTGGAGGATTTCAGATTTTGCCAAAAAGAGACAAGATGCCATCGCAGGCCGAGCCCCTGCCATGTTCTCGCCCGGTAACACTGCGCATTATCACGGTGTTGATCCAAAATCATCAGCCTAGAATACCAGGAGCATGATCAGTGAACTGGTTTGAGAAGAGCAGCAATAGATGCCTGCAAAATTAAAATCGTTGAAAAAGTTATTACTAAATTGTTGAAACTGTTGTTGTCTTGTGCGAATAATTAGTTCTCTTTCTTGTTCTCTTCCAGCCTTCTATACCAGCAAGTACGGCTATAAGATGTGCCTACGGATCTATCTTAATGGAGATGGGACAGGGCGTGGCAGCCACTTGTCCTTGTTCTTTGTGGTGATGAGGGGGCTGAGTGATGCCCTGCTTAAATGGCCCTTCAACCAGAAGGTAAAAGATTAAGAAACAAGCAGGCATTCAAGTATCCCCTTCTGGTTGTTGACCAGTCTACTGTTTTTGTTGTTCTTATTTCTTTAAGGACCACAATGAGGTTTGTTCTGCTGAAACTTGCCTATTTTATCCCAACAGTAATCTCTTACTTATTTGACTTCCAGGTTACGCTGATGCTGCTGGACCAGAGCAACAGAGAGCACATCATCGATGCCTTTCGACCTGATGTCACTTCCTCCTCCTTCCAGAGACCCGTGAGCGAGATGAACATCGCCAGCGGCTGTCCACTCTTCTGCCCGCTCTCTAAGCTCGATGGCAAGAACACTTACATTCGTGACGACACCATCTTCATCAAGGCGATTGTGGACCTCACCGGCCTCTAGACGACCTCCATTGGGTGTTACAGTTTGGCAACCAGGCAGCTCTTTGACCATTAAAGGCTTCATTTTGGCTCAGTCGCGGTCCCTTTCAGGGCGCCATTTGGGCACCTTGCTGTCCCCCGCAGCTTTGGGGAGACAGACATGCTTGCGACAGTCTGCTGCATGTAGCTGCTCAGACCAGACGATGCAGGCATTCTTATACCTTGGTGGTCTCTGTGTGAGAACCCTCACCTCCGTCATTGCTGTACATTTGGGTGCAAAACTTACTTTCTTGACATCACAGCATCACCATCCACGGTGATAAAGTGCCGTTTCAGTTCTGCAGGCGAGTTTTCAGTTAGAGGAAGCAGGCAGCAGTGCGATGTAGTCAGAGTGGTGTTGAGCAGAAGCAGAGGGGAGTGAAAAGGTAGAACTGCATCTTTGTTTTTCGTCCCCTGCTTTCGAAGGCTGGGGGATGTTGCAGAACATGCAGAGTGTGTTAGAGCAGGGCTGTAGATGTGTTTTATGTGATCACTCTGGTGAAGCTGGCGGTAGAATTATAATAGAGTTAGAGCGTGGCTTGATGCAGATTTTGCTTCCTCTTAAAGATTGTGGATATTGTGAGCGTCTCAGTTCCAGTGTGGAGTAAATTTGCATAGACAAACGTGGAGTTATGTTATGAATAAGATTACAGGCATTTCTTTTTATTTCTTCATTTCTTTTAAACAAAATGCATGCTGCTGGAGTTTTAAGTATAAAGTATAAAAATGCTCTTTTTTTGGGAGGGGGGGGTTGTTTTGGTTTTTTCTTCAACTGAGCTTCACAAAGTTTCATCATTTGATATTAAACTTGTTAGTGATTTATCCATCTGTGACGGTGGACATTGCCTGCATGTCTATGAAGCCAGGCTATTTACATGTAAAGTCAGTGTTGCGTATTTGTTCCTAATAAGGGGGTCGTGGTTCTGATTGGTGGTTTGGTACATCTGTGGAAGATACAGTGGAGTTACCAAGGAGTCAGGGCAGCTTGCCAGTCAAGCCTGAGGTGTAAAACTTACATGTGGTTTTGTCTCTGACAAACATACATCGCTGGAGTTTTTCCCAAGGATATGCTCACTAGCTCACATCTCAACACATAGTACCGTGCCCCACCACAGACTGAGGTCAACGCAGATTCCACGAAATGAAGGAATAGTATGTTCCTTGTTTTCTGTCCTTACAGTATACAGTGCGTATGTGTTTCTGCTGCTATATGATAGAATACTCATGTGAAAATATGTATATATATATATATATATATATATATCGCTGCAAATATAAATGAGCTATGTGTGTGGAGGTAGAGAGGATGGAGACAAGAGATTGTATTGTTGTATTGTTGCAGATTGATGTTCAGCGCAGCCCCCGAATTTTTCGTTTTCCCTTTTCGTGCTCTTTCACCCATTTTCCCCACAGCACCACACATCGAACAAAAACTCTGGTTAAACTGGGATGCACTTTTTCGGCACGCATCCTGAGGTTTTAAGGTTCACGCTGGCCTGTTTGGAAACCAGTCTCGACCTGTATTGAAACCTCTCTGTGCATGGGAGGCTTCGATTCATACTCACTATGGAGTTTCACAGCGGCTTTCCTCGTGGGCCACGTGTGAATGCATTTATTTGTATTTGTTTGGATGAAAATACGTAGAATAGTTATTATGTTATATCTGGCGCCGCTTCCGTTCAACAGAAGCAGCTGCCTATATTCATAGCAATGTATAAATATGTATCTTTCATATCATAATGTTGAAATAATCTATATATCAATGTTAATATACACAAGAGGTTATAATAAACATAGTATTACTGAATACCTTATTAATTCTATATCTATATACCAACTTTTTGTTTGATGGTTTGAACAGGCCAGGACAACCCCTTTGTGACTTGTGATTCTTTCTAGAGTGCAATATATGATCATGTCTGTTAGGCTATACAGAGGTCACGCTCGACTCATTTGTTTTCATTACCCATTCTGGCGCCGAAGAACCGCAACCCAATTCTCCGAGGAAATATGGTGCTTTCCTTGTCATAAATCATATGCTATTTTATCAGTAACATGAAAATCACAAGTCAGTAGCTATCTGTGAGGATTACTGGCTCTGTGGGCTTTTAGAAAGATCATTTTATTGCTGAGGAATTCTTGTTCCATACAGTGAGTTTATACTCTTATCTTAGAAACCTTTCAGTGAAGGCTGAGCATGTAATAAAATAGGATTACATGGACTTTTTAAAGTGTTCTCGTAATGTGCCAAACTCAAATATTACCTCCATGTATGAACACTGTTGTACTGCAAGTTGAATTTTATGTTCTATGCTAAAATATGGTGCCAAATATGTTTCTATTTAATTTTTCTATGAAGATGCGTGTGTGAGATTTTAATATGAGGCGTCATTACTTCTGTAAGCACCAGAGGAGCTGATTAATACTGTCCCATTTAAAATGTCCTCAGATGAGGTTTCTGAATGTAAGCTTTAATTAAGTTGGTTTTCCTTTTCAAAAAACACACAACAGCCGTTCTGTCTTGTGATGCAGTTGACTTGAACCAACTTTTTTTGTGCACTTTCTATCGTTTGTTTGTCCAGACAGGGTATTTTGTTGAGCGATTTATGTACCTTGAAATCAGAGCCATATATATTCTGATGTTGATAATTGATGTATTATGCTGAAAAAAGGACATGCAGTATGTAATAAAGCGTGGTGGTTTCAGCCTGTGTTGATTTTTTAAAGTACATCTTTAATAGAAAGTATAGAAAAAAGAGCATTTTGAATCTTCAGTTAGCATTTTGATAATCAGCCTTGCCATTTTTTAGGGATAGATATTCTAGATAAAGTGCTATGGGTGGAACACTGAGACTCGCCTTGTTAGTGAGAAGCAACAGGCTAATCAAATGCTAGCTTTTCACACACCAGAACTAAAGCACAATCTACTGGAAAGTCCTTATAACACTGCAGCCCATTACATTAGATAATCCGATCGCAATGCTCCAAAAGGCACCGACAGCGCAAACACAGAGGAGAGCTCATTGACTACAATTAACAGAGGTGAGGCCTAGTGGACACCAAGTAGCTGTAAAAGACACAGCAACTATGACTCGCTGGAGGGGGATTTGCACGTCAGTAGAGATCACTCTGTGTGGAGTGGTTGTCTGATGCCACTAAGCACTGCTGTTTCAAGCTGAAAACTGCTGTTAACTTAATAAAAGAGAAATGATTTCGAAAAAGAGAAACTCTCATCCGAATTCTCTTCAGCTTATTTTTATCTTGTTGAATTACAGTTAAGCACTGGGGCTTCCATCTGCAACAGAAAGACATGCTTTAAAGGGTTTTCTGAAGAAATGTTGTGATAACGGTTTGGCTTTGCAAGTTCAATAGAGAGGGACAGTCACACTTCCATGTGAACATATTAATCCTAAACAGACTTTCATTCACTATGTTGTTACAACCTGTGCTACATGATGAGCTGAGTCACTTTCGCATATTTATCCTAGTCTCCAACTAAAGGAAGCTGGTTCCTTTATTCCCTGTGCTATGCAGACTTTCTTAGGCTGATATTTAGAATCTACTCTATCAGAATATTTGTTCATTATTTTTAAAATTGGATTTTGCACGTTGTTGTTGCATTTTGGAATGATTTTGTCAAGGCTGCCGGGGCGATGCGTGTGGTGTCGGAGGAAAGGACCCAAAATGCAGGCAACGACTAATGATATGAGTGAGAGTTTATTTACAAGTGGCAGAGTGACAAAAAACAGGCAATGAGACACGAGAAGCTACTGAAGAAACCTAAACTGGGAAAACTAAAGCGCAAACCTGAAATCATAATAAAACCCACTATATATACACACACACACACACACACACACACACACACACACACACACACACACACACACACACACACACACAAGGTAATCAGGCAATGGCACACAGGAGGGAAGCACAGCTGATCCTTATTCACAAGCTGAACACAGTGATAACAGACACAGACCTTCAAAGTAAAACAGGAAATTCATAATACAAACTCAGGGACATGAACAAATCACCGGGGACGACACAGGAAATAAACCTTAGGACTGGAGACCCTGAGAATGAAACCTACATACATGAAGAAATTAATATCAAATCAGATAATAATAATAATAATAAACATAATGACAAACACAAAACCCTGGGCCAGCGACTCAGCAGCATAACAGATTTTATAACAACTATTTAAGTTAAATGAGTCAGATCCCTTTGGGAGCCAGCCTCAAGTGGCCACTAGAGGAACACTGGCTTCATTTTTCAGCTCAGAAGAAGTGTTCTGTTAGACAGCCAACTAACTGTATCTTTACTGTATCTTTAAAAGTATTTAACAGTATAACAGTATGGAAAGTGTGGTGCATAACTTGCGAAGGATGGTAATGCAATGTAAGCTATAGTAGATGATCAAACAAACTTAGTTTTAAATGAAATTTAAGATCAAATACGTCTATTTAAATAAATACTGATAATCATACCTTTCATGTACTGAAATAGTTCCTTCATCCCTGAGAGTAAATAAGCAGATAACATTGTTACTGAGTGAACAGATGAGATACCAGTATAAAGTAAAGTTATAGTGGTTCACTATTCAATTCAGTTCAATTCAATTTTATTTATATAGCGCCAAATCGCAACAAAAGTCGCCTCAAGGCGCTTCATAGATACAGAGAAAAACTCAACAATCATCAGTGGGAAGGAAAAACTCCCTTTTAACAGGAAGAAACCTCCGGCAGAACCAGGCTCAGGGAGGGGCGGAGACATCTGCTGCAACCGGTTGGGGTGAGAGAAGGAAGACAGGATAAAGACATGCTGTGGACGAGAGACAGAGGTTAATAACAGATATGATTCAATGCAGAGAGGTCTACTAGCACATAGTGAGTGAGAAAGGTGAGTGGAAAGGAAAAACTCAATGCATCTAGAACTAGAACCTCATTCACACTCAGAAATAACAGAGTCATTTTTTATTATTATTTATTAAATTAATCTTAAAATAATTTTTATTATTATTGTTTTCCTAAATGCAAACTCATCATGTCTTGCTCCAAAAGCAAGTTCCTGAATGTACTAGAAGTTACGTGGATCTCTGCTCACTAGAGGGCAGTATATGACTTTCAGTTAATTTCTCTATGTGAGCTCTTCACTCTCCTTAAGAATAAGAGTCTTAGCAGCAATCATTGCACTATAACAGGCAGGGTAATTTAGATCTGACTCTTATCTTTGAATAAAGCCTTTCATTGCTTTAGGTAAACACCTGGGACATTTTCATTAGGTGTAAATTATGTACACAGGACAGTTTGACCCACACGGTACATTGTGCAAAGCTGAGTGCCTTTTGCGTAACCTTTCGTGCAAAAGAGAACAAATCTATTTTTGTTATATTACTTATGTCATCAATGTGATCTGAAGCTGTTGATGAGCTCTGAGTCACACGGTGTCAAGGAAGTAAATTGACGCAGAGTGGTTACTTTGACAGGATGTGGCTGTGTGTGAAGATGGGGACAGTCATTCAGTTATTTCTTCACACCTTGAGCACAGAAAGTAAAAAAAACTTTCTGCAGTCTTTTTAAAATCATATTACAAACTCCAATGCAATTTAACCCACTGCATATAGATCTGTTTATTTTAACACATACATAAATCTGTGATTATAATTCATTATGTGATATATATAAAGCGGTCGGTTTGTTTTTCCAACAAAACAAATTAGCTATGTTTAGGATTTTCATCTGTGATATGGAATTAGTTTTTATTTGGATGGCAAAGAAGCCTGTTAAAAACGTTCATGGCCTGCTCAGTAACTACAAAGTATCCTAAAACAAGCCCATGGCTTCATCCCTCCTCCAACATGCTTGACAGTAGATATGAGGTGTTTGTGCTCACTGTGCAATATGGCCAGAAATTTAAAGAACAATCATTCATGCTTTTGTGCAGCAGTTCCAGTGTTGCGATGCTCTGTGAGTTTGGGGGTAGGCCATTAGCGCAAGGACATTAGTATAGTCATTAGAAGCAGCAGTAATTAGCAAAATTAGCTTCTGCCACCTTCACTGTAATATAAATGTCTCAGTTTTGTCCCTTTTAGATTTGATGGAATCCTCAATTCCTATTGGTTCACCTTGTCAATCTAAGTCATCTGTTTTCTGTTTGTATAAATATCCTCCTACTACTATATATAGGCAGATTTAGGGCCTTTAAAAGTTGTTGTTTCTTTGACTGCTACTATCCAACCTGTTTATCTGTTGTGTGTTCATTTATTTTGACTTTGCAGTGATACTCTGCATTGATTGGTTGCTTACACAACTCTTCAGTGTGAAGGGCTCCAAAACCATCATTTTTAAAAACTCACTTTGTATTTGCAGCAGAACAACAGCACAAACTAGAGTAGCCCAAAGACAGGTTGTACCACATATTTTTAACCCCTGGTGACGATAAATAGCTACAACACGGAGAGTTACAAAACTGTGTTTGTATTCTGCATATGTTTATGACTTTTTGCACAAGTCTATGGATTTCAAGTGTTTTTTTCTGAGAAAAACATGACAATAATTTAATGATTGTATCCTTTAAGGCGTTGTTAATTGTCAAATATGAGCCACAGTATTATTGTTTTTTCTCAGTAATGACAGCTCCTCATGTCTGGTCTGGTTTCAAAACACAAAGATGGTGATAACCAAAATCCTGAAGCTGAGGTTTCAGGAAGGGAATTCACAATCAGATGAGTTCGCATTTGCCACGTCCATCTTTTATGTACAGTTTATGGTGAGACAGCAATGATGGTCCCACAAAAAGCGTTTGTGGTGTTCAGGAGTTTTGACAACATATTGCTGGTTCATTTAAATCTGACGTCTGATTGAAACTATTACTGCTCTCATGAATAATTTAATTTCCTGGTTTTGTTGAAATAGTTTCAACATTTTCCATCCATTCGCTTCCGCTTATCCTTTTCAGGGTCGCGGGGGGTGCTGGAGCCTATCCCAGCTGTCGTAGGGTGAGAGGCGGGGTACACCCTGGACAGGTCGTGTCACAGGCTGGGTCTCCGACCCAGCACTCTGAGTTTTCTTTGTATTTTTTGATATGTTATTAGTTTGTGTTATTTCCTATTTGCCTTTAGTTTAGGCAGTTATTGTTCCTGGGTTTTCTGTGTTTTGGGGTTTTGTATTTATTCATCACGTATTAGGTCTGTTAAGTTGTGTTGTCATGTTTAGTTTTAGTATTTCCTGTTTTTATTCTGACAGTGTCATGTGTTCTTTGTTCATTGTATTTAGCTTTCCTCTCCTGGTCCTGTCATTAGGTTTATGTCAGTCAGCTGTTCCCCCATGTGTCTCCACTTCCCCTGATCACCTCTTGTATGTATTTAAGCCCTTTGTTTTCTGCATGCCATTGTCGGGTCGTCTGTTTATTCTGCCCTAGTTCTAGCCTGGTTCTGTTTATTTGACCTCAGTCTTAGTTTCGGTTTTTGTCTGTTATGTATTATTAGTCTTAGTCATGGTCTTTGCTTGTTATTTTCCACCACAGTCATAGTTTAGGTTTTGGTCTCAGTACCGTTTTAGTATTTTGTTTCTTAATGTCTTGTCAGTTTACTTTGGTTTCCTGGTTTACTTCTGCCATCATCTAATAAAGCCTCACCTTTCTGTTAAAACCTTACTACTCCTCGTCGTCATCTGCTTTTGGGTC